TAATCCTCTTTTGTGCCATAGTAATGTTGAGTTACAATTGCACCTTTCTAATTCAACTAAAGAGATATGTTTTATTTATTCTATCTCATGCATTAAGCTTCCCAGTCTCCACATATTACTGTAGAAAGAATACAAGGAATGTTAACAACTTCTGAAAAAATACCATCCTTTTAATCCTATGTTGGGCCCTAGCAATGTTAAGTTACAGTTCCACTTTTCTAACTCAATTAAAGAGATATCTTTTAGTTATTCTATCTCATGCGCTAAGTTTCACAGTCTCCAAATATTATAATAGAAAGAATACAAGGAATGTTAACTACATCTGAGAAAATGCCATCTTTCTAATGCTCTTTTGGGCCATATCAATGTTGAGTTACAAATGCACTTTTCGAATTGAACTGAAGAGATATCTTTTAGTTGTTCTATCTCACGCATTAAGTTTCACTCTCTCTACATATTACAATAGAAAGATAACGAGGAATGTTAACAACTTCTCAGAAAATTCCAGGCTTTTAATCCTATGTTGGGCCACAGCAATGTTGAGTTACAATTCTGCTTTTCTAATTCAACTAAAGAGGTACCTTTTAGTTGCTCTGTCCTATGCAGTAAGCTTCACAGTCTATACATATTAGAAGAGAGGAATACAAGGAATGTTAACAACTAATATAAAATCCCATCCTTTTAATCCTAGGTTGGGCCATAGCAATGTTGAGTTACATTCCACTTTCTATTTTTCTTGAATATGTAGAGACAGTGAAGCTTAATGCATTAGATAGAATAACTAAAAGATATCTCTTCAGTTGAAATTAAAAGGAAATGCAACTCAACATTGATGGCCCAACATAGGATTAAAAGGATGGGATTTCTTCAGAAGTTGTAACATTTCTTGTATTCTTTTTTGTAATATGTAGAGACTGTAAAGTTTAATGCATGAGATAAAAGAACTAAAAGATATCTCCTTCATTGAATTGGAAAAGTAGAATTGTAACTCAAAATTGCTTTGGCCCAACATACGATTAAAAGGATGATATTTTGTAGAAGTTGGTAACATTCCTTGTATTCTTTCTAATGTATTATGTGGAGACAGTGACACTTAATGCATGAGAGAATAACTAAAAGTCATCTCTTATTCAATTAGAAAAGTGGAAAATGTAACTCAACGTTGCTGGCCCAACCTAGGTTTAAAAGGATGGGATTTTCAGAAGTTGTTAACATTCCTTGTATCTCTCTCTTTTAATGTGAGACTGTGAAACTTAATGCATGAGATAGAATAACTAATAGATATCTCTTTAGTTGAATTAGAAAAATGCAATTGTAACTCAACATTGCTATGGCCCAACATAGGATTAAAAGGATGGGATTTCCTCAGAAGTTGATAACATTTCTTGTACTTTTTATGGTAATATGTAGTGACTGTGAAGCTTAATGTATGAGTAGAATAACTAAAAGATATCTCTTTAATTGAATTAGAAAAGTGGCATTGTAACTCAACATTTCTATGGCCTAAAGGAGGTTTAAAAGGATGGGATTTTCTCAGAAGTTGTTAACATTCCTTCTTCTTTTTATTGTAATGTGAAGAGACAGTGAAGCTTAATGTATGAGATAGAATAACTAAAAGATATCTCTTTAGTTGAATTAGAAAAGTAGAATTTTAACTCAACATTGCTATGGCCCAACATAGGATTAAAAGGTTGGGATTTTCTCAGAAGTTGTTAACATTCCTTGTATTCTTTCTACTGTAATGATAGAGACTGTGAAGCTTAATGCATGAAATAGAAAACTAAAAGATATCTCTTTTCTTGAATTAGAAATGTGGAATTGTAACTCAACATTGCTGTGGAGCAACATATGATTAACAGGATGGGATTTTCTCAGAAGTCCTTGACCTTCCTTGTATTCTCTCTATTTTAATATGTAGAGATTGTGAAGCTTAATGAATGAGATACAATAACTAAAAGATATCTCTTTAGTTGAATTAGAAAAGTGGAATTGTAACTCAACATTGCTATGGCCCAACATAGGTTTAAAAGAATAGGATTCTCTCACAAGTTATTAACATTCCTTGTATTCTTTCTACTGTTATATTATCCATTTCAGGCCTTGAGTATCCACTGAGATGAACTAGATTTGGGTTCTTCCTGAACCAGTCTCCAAAGTGATTTGCTAGTCCTGGCCCAGTGATTTCTATTCCATGAATGCACCCTAGACATCGTGCTAGGAGGCCTCTCAGACAGGAACACAGCTTCAACTGGAATCTAGACTCTGAGCAGAGACCCAAGTCATTTTTTTTATCAATTTATTTTGACTTATCAACAATCACTTCAATATGCTTTTGAGTTTAAAATTTTTCTCCCCCTTCCTCCATACCACCCTCCCGAAGATGGCACACAATCTTATATAAGCTATACATATACATTCCTGTTAAACGTATTTTCACATTAGTGATGTTATAAGTAAGAATTAGAACCAGTAGGAGGAACCAACAGAAAGAGGAAACAAAACTCAACAGAAGAGGAAAAAAATAGCATACTGTACTTCAATCTGCATTCAAATTCCATTGTTCCTTCTTTGGATGTGGATAGCATTTTCCATCACAGGGCCTTTGGAGATGTCTTAGATCCTTGTATTGCTGGAAAGAGTTAAGTTTATCAATATTAGTCCTCGCACAACATGGCTGTTACTGTGTACAACTTTCTTTTGGTTCTGCTCATTTCACTCAGCATACAAATCTTTCCAGATCTTTCTGAAATCAGCCTGTTCATCATTTCTTATAGCACAATAGTATTCGATTACATTCATATATTACAACTTCTTCAGCCATTTCCCAGTTGATGGGCATCCTCAGTTTCCAATTCTTTGCCACCACAAAAAGAGCTGCTATAAATATTTTTGTACATGTGGGTCTTTTTCCCATTTGTATGATCTCTTTGGGATATAGCCCTAGAAGTGCTATTGCTGGGTCAAAGGGTATGCACATTTTTATAGCCCTCTGGTCATAGTTCCAAATTGCCCTGCAAATGGTTGGATCATTTCACAACTACACCGACAATGCATTAGTGTTCCAATTTTCCCACATCTTCTCCAACATTTATCATTTCCTTGTTTTGTCATCTTGGCCAATGTGATAGGTATGATGTGGTACCTAAGAGTTGTTTTGATTTGCACTTCTCTAATCAATAGTGATTTAGAGCATTTTTTCATGTGACTGTAGATAGTTTTAATTTCTTCATCTGAGAACTGCCTGTTCATATCCATCAACTTTTTTTTTAAATAACAAATAGTCCAAAAAGCCCATTGGGAGCTTATGTTCTTTATGTTATCCAGTAATTATGTTTATGATCTCATTTTGCAGATAATAAATTATAGCTTATGTTATGTTTCTTACAAAATGATTTCCTGTCAGCAACTTTGTAAGGAGATTACAGGGTAAGAAGTATAATTCCCATTCTCTAGTTAGGAAAGGCCTAGAGAACTGAAGTTATTTGCCTAATATTACACTTAAAAAGTGACATTGCTGGTATTGGAATCAAGACCATGTGCTACTATTAGAATCAAGACCAAGGCTTCAAGCTCAGTATTCTTTCCACATCCTCTACTGCCATTTTCCTTGGGGATCTTCAGAGGAGGTGGTGGTGGTTTGAGGCAAATACTTTAAAATTTTCCTTTGTAGTGTAAAATGTTCATTACTGGTAATGAACCCAAGCATTTCCATTTTTTAAACATTCGTCCTCACTTCCACCTCTTTAGAATCTCTTGCGTGTTTCAAGACTCAGCTCCAAGACACCTTCCGCAGGAGGTCTTAAGCATTTTCCCCAGCTTCCAGTGCCTTCCCCTTAGAGACAAACTTCTGCCAGCTCTGTATGTATCATGTATGTGCTGAATTATTTGCATGTCCTCTCTCCCATTAGAAGGTAAGCGCCTTCTGGGCAGAGACTGTTTTTGCATCTATTTGGGTCCCCTAGTACTTGGGATTTCCTGGCACATAGTAAGTACTTAATAAATGCTTGTTGATTGGTTGAAAGATTGACGCAGATAGAAGAAACACTAGATTAAGGCTCAAAGACCTGGGTTCTAGTTCATGCTTAACCTGTATTATGTATCAGACTTTGAGTGAATCATTTAAACTCTTTGAGCCTCAAGTGTAAAATGGGGATAATAATATCTCCCTCCAAAAGTTGAAGTGAAGATCACACATAAGATAACATCTGTGAAAAGCCTTTGTGAAGAGCTCAATGGAAGTTAAAAAAAAAATCCTAGTTAAATGGACTCTTTACCCCTGCAAACCTAGACTCATTCTCTAGAGTGTTAGTGTCTATGGGCTCAGCCGGTATTTACATGACATTTTCCCATTTCCATTTTATTTGTCTTCAAGACTCTTAAACAGTTAGGTTGAAATGGATAAAGTGTAGGACTTGTATTGTGAGGAAGGTCTGAGTTCAAAGCCTGCTTCTTATACTTCCTAGCTGGGTAACCTTGGGTAAGTCTTTTAACCTCGTTAAATCTCAGTTTCCTCAACTATAAAATGAGGATAATACTAGTACCTACCTCCCAGGATAAAATGAGTTTGCATATGCAAAGTGCTTTGTAAACCTTAAAGTATTAAATAGTTTGAACTATTAGTGGCAGCACAGGGGATACAGCATCGGGCCTAGAGTCAGGAAGACTCTTCATCCTAAGTTCAAATCCAGCCTCAGACATCTACCAGCTATATGACCCCAGGCAAGTCACTTAACTCTATTTGTCTCAGTTTCCTCATCTGTCAAATGAGTTGAAGAAGGAAATGAGAAACAACTCTAATATCTCTGCCCCAAAATATGGTCATGAAGAGTTGAACGTGACTAAAAACAACTGAACAACAACAGCAAAAACTAAAATTATTGTTATTAATACATCCTTATGGAGGAAAGAGAAATGATTGTAATCAGAAAGTTAAAGCTGGAATTAACTTTAGAGATTACCTAGTACTAGGCCAGCCTCCTGATTTTTACAAAAGAGAAAACTGAGGCCTAGAGAAATGAAATGATTAGCCCAGGGTTCATACAGGTAGATAGTAAGTAGCAGAAGGTCTGAGTTCAAATCCTACCTCAGTTGCTGAGCCAGGGATTCGAGTCCAGGTCCTTTTACTGTAAATTCAGCATGCTATGAAGGTTTCTCCCCAACATCATAGCTGGGAAAGCTGATGCCCACAAATATAGGACACTTTTCCCATGGCTAAAGAAAGATCTTGGGCAAAACGACTAGAGTTGACCAGTGGACAGGCCAGGTCACTCAGTCCATTTTATAGGAAGAATCTGAGGCCCAGACAATTGTCACAAAGACAAGATTTTCATTCAGATCCTCCAATTCCAAATCCAGTCTTTTTCCCATCCTACCCTTTCTATATGTCAGGATGCCCTGGAAAAAAGCCAAGGGACTTCAACTATCTCATTCTGCTGGTAAACCTTGGGCAAGTTATTTCACTTCTGAACCTCCATTTCCTAATTTGTCAAATTAGAATAATATCTGCCCTGCCTACCTCACAAGCTCATTGTGAGGCTCAAATTAGATCATCTGTAAGAAAGTGCTTTGAAAATAATAAAGCCATATAAGTACGTAAGTTATTATTGTTTTTTTATTATACCTTCAGTTCAAAGCTGTTGAAATGTCTTAAGCAGGAGAGCATGCAGTTGAGGAAATGGGGTGGGGAAAGGAGTGGTCACTTGGATTGAGACTGGAAACCTCAGCCATTTGTCTCCCACTTGTGAACTGTGACTTTGAGCTTCAGTTTCCTCATTGGTGTGGCTCTTGATAATAGGAGTTAGAGCTGGAACAGACCTTCACAGTTATTTACTCTGATCTCTTCCTTTCCCAAATGAGGAAACAGACCTTGAGAGGGGAAGGGACAGCACTTGGTTATTAAACACTTTTTATCACAGTTCAAAGAAGAGTCTTTCCTCCCTCCCCACCCCATAGTGATGTGTTGTTTTGTTGTTGTTTAGTCATTTTCAGTTGTGTCCAACTCTTCATGACCCCATTTGGGGTTTTCCTTCACAAAGGTACTGAAGTAGTTTCTCATTGCCTTCTCTAGCTCATTTTACAGATGAGGAAACTGAAGCAAACAGGGTGAAGTGACTTTTCCAGGGACACACAGCTAGTAAGTGTCTGGGGCCAGATTTGAACTGAGGTCTTTCTTTCTACAGGCCTAGCACTATATCCACTGCACCACCCAGCTGCCGTAACACACACACACACACACACACACACACACACACACACACATATTGTCCTAATATATAGTGATATATGTACTGCACAGTTATGTCTGTTCCAGGGCAATTCACATTTTGAGAAAATAAAGTGTGTATTTAATAAATAGTTGGCATTTATATAGTGCTTTGCAAATATGATCTGATTTTATCCTTATAACAACCCTGGAAGGTAGGTACTGAGGAAATTGAGGTAGTCAGAGGTTAAGTGACTTACCTGGGGTCACACAGCTAGCTGGTAAGTGTCTATGACTAGATTTGAAATCTTCCTGATTCCAGGCCCAGCACTCTGTTTATTGTGGCAGTATCTAGCTATCTATAGGTATGTAATGAAAAGCAGTGCAAATTGCAAGGCTAGGAGACCTGGCTTGCAGCAATAATTCTTTGCCACTTATTACGTGTGAGAGCTTGGATAAGTAGTACCGGAGCATCTCTGAACCTCATTATGGGATGGCTTTGGGGAGTAAAGTGCTTGCTAAACCTTGGTAGGCTATATAGAATTTGAGTCATTATTATTTATGAAGTTTTACAAAAGGGAGTAGCCTTAGTCTGAGTCCTGCTTTGCAGTTCAGAAAATCATGGTCATTTCTGTGTGTGTGTGTTTTGTGTGTACACACATGTATATATGTATATGTATATGTATGTGCATATATACACATACATATTTATATACATACATACACATGTGCATATATATGTATATATAAAGATATATTTGTAACAGAGTAGAATCTCAATCACTATTATGCCTTGAAATGACCAGGCTGCCCTGCCTTCTGACATTAGCATTGGATCTAATAAGTGTCTGAGGCTGGATTTAAGTGTTAGAGAGGATCTGCATCCACATGTGGCTCTAGAGCTACAAAGAAAAGCTAGGAGAATGATGGAAAGCAGTGTAAAATGCTAGGTTTGGGGAATCTTGTCTGGGGTGACAGGCTTAGAGGGGATTAAATAGGGTTAGCAAGCTCTTCTCCTGGGGAAGAAGTACAAGAGTCCTCCTCCAGGTGTGATGCTATGAGGCACAGGGTGCTAGGGAAAGGAAAAAGATTGGTTGGTTGGGTGTCAGTGAGTCATTGACCTCAGCTGAGTCAGGAGAACTCGTAGTCTCCTATTCCTGTCCTATTCTTATGGAGCAGCCAGGATGTGGCCAAGTCAAGCCCATTTGGGTCTTCTGTGCCTCTGTAGTAGCCTCTGTGGGATTGAGTCTCACTCTGGCTCCTCCTTAGGCTAAGGGGCTGGTAGGCTGGAGGCTGTGGGTGGGGATTTGCAGGTCCGAGCTCTGGTCACCTGAGACTTAGGGTGTAGTTAGAAGAGTGAAGGAGGAGATTGAACTGGTAGAGGGAGTAGACAGTAGAAGTGGGGCCTGGCCTGGGCAGTCAGTCAGCTGAGTCCCTCCTGGAATGGCTGGGAGCCCTGCTTGTGCAAGGGCTGTCCTATCTGGCTCGCTGAGGCAAAGGCGCTGGGCTGGCTGGAGAGAGAATCCAAGTTAAGTGACAGCATGTGGGAACACAGCTGCAAGAAGAGGCTAATGCCCAGCCACATGGCCAGGATCTTCCTTTGGGCAGCCAGGTTCCCTATTGGCAAAATAGCGATGGAGGCAATGTGGCATTGGGTTGTATAATGGAGGCTGGGGGGCACGAGAAGGGTTTCTCTAGGGTATTCTCCAGGCTAAAACATTATTATTAGAAACACTGCTGTGTACGCTTACCCAGGTCTGAAACCGGATCCACCTTCTCCTTGGGCTGGAAGAGCTGTGCTCACTTTCCTCATCTCTATAAAGTGAAGTATTGTCTTGGATAATTCCTAAGGTTCCAAGTTTTTGCAGATGAGGGAATGGAAATGAAGTGGCTTGACTACTTTTTCCTGAAGTCTTTGCTGGTTCCTGTTATCTATATCAATATCATGAATTCCATGAAGCCATTGTTGAATTAGGAAGAAGGCTGGGCATCCTGTATGTGTGAGAGCACATGTATGACAAATGCACATCTTTTTATCCCTATTCCCCATTCGAAATTCCTTCCCTTGTTTCAGCATCCATTGGGTATTATATTATCTATGAAGCACCTATTACTCCTCTCCCTCGTGAGCCTCCACCCCTAATTACATCTCCCATTCCCCACAATTCTGCCATTGGGCCCTTATTTGGGAACACCCCTTTTTATGTTAACCTCAGAACTGTTTTCAGCAGGTTAGTCTTTTCACCACCAAGAGTGTTTTCTTATAATTCCCTTTTGTCCAACTTCCACCTAGCCCCCAGACTGCATTCCTTAAGGTTTCTACTTGGCTTTTTGTGGAAATAATAATAATAAAAAAACTATTTCTTTGACTCCACCCTCTGATGCAGAAGCAACATCCATATATCCTACAATCCCCCTTTTTCTTTTATTTTACTCTGTTACATCTGCATCTTTTAATTCATTATGTATTCTAGTTTTGACCATAATTAGGGTTCACCTCAGTCTCTTCACAAGATATTATGCAATAGCCTACAACTGTCAATACCCCAGCTGTCTTCTGCCATTACCTTCCATTTGCCAACCCATGATTCTAACTATTCCTTTAATTAATTATCTATGCCAGAGTTCTCTCCAGCTCCTCAGCTAAAGTGGTTAGACTTTGCGATGCCTTAGTAATGGTTCCATCTGGAGCTGTGCTATTGGTCAACATTTCATCAAGGGATTTTGGGAACTTATAACAGTATGGGAGAAGGAAGGGAGAAATTGATCAATGCATTGACAAATCAAAAAGGGGGCTGTCCCCTTAGTAAATACAGATACAGAGACCCCAAAGTAATGATAAATTGTCCATTTAAGGCTGCAGAAGTCTCTGTTCATACAGTTGTCTGGCATTGTGGACATCATACAGGGAAGTTTTCTGGTCTTGGTGCTGTTCAAGCAGTGTCCAGCAGACTGTCTTCTTGTAGAGATTCTCTTTCTTGGGTCTGTTCTCCTATAAGATTGATCTTAACACAATTTTTAAATTACCTTGCCAATAACCAGGGCAAATAATGAAAGTTAACTCAACCCTTATGTCTTCATTATTATAGGATCAAAAATTGGAACTTTGGCGAATTGTCATGTTTAAGAAACTCAAATTAGAAAAGTAACAGAAAAATTAGAACCTGGCCTTACACTCTGCATTAGTTCTAGTTTTATACCTTGCATTAATTCATTATTCATTCTTATTCATATTCCCCCATCAGGAGGAGGAGATTCTATTAAGGAATTAATAACAGACTCCAATACATAGTAATCAGTTTTAAAACTGCACAAGTAATAAAACTGTACAAGTAATAAAACAATTCCAACTTCTGGTCATGTACAAATAAATAATCCATAATTAAAATAGATGCTTCTTTTAAGGCGTTTACAAGCTAGGCCACAAGCCACTCTTCTTTTAACATTAATTGTAACAAACTGAGACAACTTTAATATTAACTAAGTATTAACTAAGTAACAGAATAATATCTTCGTTCCACAAGCTGGCTTCCTAACTATCCCCATACCATTGTAAGAAATTAAAGGACTCTCCCTGACTTATACAGGAATGTACTAGTAATAGATGTCAAGACTGAATACTTAATTCTAAAATTCTAGGCCAAATAACTAAATCTTATACTTGCATCTTACTATAATAACCTCAGATGTTCCTGCATCAGTCTATTATTTAATAGATTTGATATTATGCTTACAAAACTTATGAATTTAAACATTTGCCATGAAAGAATAGGGACATAACTAAAGTAAAGGAACAATTCTTCCCTACCTTCATGTCAATTACAGGCAGAAGGTATTTAATAGCCAACTGCATTGAGCCAGGCTTAAAGTCTGCCAGGTGTCATAGTGGGGAAATTGAGTCAGGAGAATCCTCTCTCAGTCATGCAGAAAAGTCATTCTCCCAATCTTCTCATGAGAACACTCTCTTGCAGCTCCTAGATGCAGCTCACAAACCCCTCACAGGGTTTCTGGCATCATGGGTTAGTAGCTCAATCAGTTCCTTGTTGACAATACCTGGAGTTAGAGTCAGAATTCATTAACAGTCCCCAAGATCTTTGATAGCAAATTCCCTTCATCAGGGTTTCAGGTGTGAGTATAATATCACATTAATTAGGGAACATTTCCAAAGTGAACCCTAAGCAGTTTACATGTCTTCCTAGACATGTTCTAGCTCCTGATAACATCCTGAGTAAAATCAAATTTCCATTAAGACCATAAGTTGCTACTCTAACAGATTTGCCTCTCTTTTTCTCAAGCTTATTTATGCTTCTCTAACCAATCTTAATCGAAAGAATGAGGCAGTTCCAGAGAAGTTCAAACATTAGTTCTAAACCCTTGCTAGGCCATGGAATGAATTCATATCAAAAAAGCAAGATCTCCCCCACTTACAATTCATTACAATAGTTGCTTTAGTATTAATCACTAGCCTTTGATCTCTGATGCTTTTCCCATTGAGTTGCTGCTTTTGACTCTTGTTTCTCAGAAAGCATCCATTAAGACCCATCCAGGGACACAACAAACCTAGGAAACAAACTCAAAATTCACAGTAAGTTTGGACATAATTGTCATCAATATCAGATTATGATTTGCAACAAAACTAGCTTGCAAATTTAGTAGGCCCTCTTAAAAAAATCACACCAAAGACTTTCTTTGCATAAAAGTATTTTCCTTTCTTAAAAACAGCTTACAATTTCCTAATTACCACAAAATTGCTAGTTAACCTAAATTATCTAGTCAAAAATTCTCTAGTCTATAATGGGCCATTTACTCAGTAAGAATTCCACAACACAAGACTCCTGCACAGGGTTGATAACGATTACAAGATTTTACAAAGTCTCTTCTTTGCATAATTACCAGGTTTCCTTTCACACACACACACACACACCAAAATACTTTTATAAGTGCTTAATTTAAACAAGAACTCCAGGAGGCAGCTAAGTGGCACAGAGGATACAGCACCGGCCCTGGAGTCAGAAGGACTTAAGGTCAAACAGCCTTAGGCACGTAACACTTCTTAGCCCTGTGACTCTGGGCAAGTCACTTAACCCCAATTGCCTCACTAAAAAAACAAACAAAACCAATAACTCCCAATAGCTTAGTTAACAATCTTAAATTTCATAAATGAGAACCAAATAATCCCAGCTAAAACTTCCCTTTAAAATAGACAAAACTTCTTGCTTCCCAAATTATAGTACTTAAAAAAAATATTGCAACACAGGGTCAGATAGAATAACCTAACAGCTTCCCAACCCATTCCTTTTTTTTTCTTTCTGTGATAGTATAATTCTTAATCTAGTCAACATTGTAGATTATAAAAGAAATTGCTTTTCTAACAACATAGCTGATACAATTGTTTACCAGATTACACCATATAAGAAAATTCAGAAATACAACCATGCCATAAGCACCTATCATATATTTAAAACTTGAAACAGAACCAATTAATTACTGTCAGATGACCTTAATTTAGTTGGATAGACTAAATCAAATCTGGATTCATAATCATTAATGGCAATGATGGGGTATGGGCCAAGCTTGGCCCCCAAAACAAACCCTTTCTCCTGAACTGCTCCACCTGGTCTAGCAGTTTCCCCAGGCCATACTTCCCATCCCTGATCTTATTTAGACCCCATTCAACCTCACAGACACTCCCATCAAGACACCTGGCCACTCCCAGATCCCCCTCATAGCCGAGACTTCCCCATACCCGCTCATCCTTATGAGCATCACAAATATTCAGACTCTTCAAGAGCCTGGCTTACATGGAACAAGCTGTCATAGGCCGAAAGAAGGCCTGGGTCATTTTTTTTTTTCTGGGCAGGACCCACGAGTTGCAATTGTGGGTCCCACTATCCCCAACCTCCAAACCTCAACAGTACATTTTAATTTCTAAGGCCTAATACTCTTAGTACTTTAAAGGAAAGGATTATTATCCATAAATTCACACACAGTTTTTTTCCTAATTGAGGCTCTGATATATGGGAGGATGCCTAATTAATTCCAAAACAGCGCATATCAGTAAGTTGTTCACAATAGGTTTGTACCACAGGGCACACATTATATTTCCACAATAGTAATAAACTTTGAAATAACCCATTGTCAATTTAGATGAATGCATTTCCAAATCACTTTGCACAGAAAATCATTCATCTCATAATTAATATTGAAACTATAACTTTAAACCATCACATATTTTTATAATAGTCAAGATTTCAAATGAAAATCTGCTACCATAGTAAATACCAATATTATTATTACTTGCTTATAACCAAATATAACCAAGTTTTCAAAGTATCTCATTTGTATGATATCCTTTCAAAAGACCCATTCCCGATTAAGAACTGCTTTAGCACCATTTCTACCTCACAGTGGTCCCTCAAATATTATAATCTAAGAGTTTTAGAAATACAATACAATTTAGAAGTAGAGTAATAACACAAACAATAAACTTCAGATAACATCAATTGCATTTCCAGATTATCACATATACACATTATTGATCTTATTACTCTTGGTACTTTTAACAATTACATTAAATTAGAGAAATAATAATAATGCTATGTCTAACATATGCCATTGTATTAAGCACTTTACAGTCATATCATTTTCTATCCCAAAACAACTGTTTTTTTTCCCTTTACAGAACAGTAAACTTAAATCAAATCAGACCTGAATTTGTGATCGTTAATGATAAACATTTAAAAACATTTTTGCTTTAAATCCAAAGTCTCAGCCCTTTAAAAGGAAATCTTCTCCACAAATTCATATATTCCTTTAAAAAGACACGTGGTGACAATTACTACCCTGAATAATTTTCTCCCCGTTTCTTTCCTACTTCTTTAAAAGAGCAAAAAAATCCATTCTCCTTTTAGAAGTTTATCAGATAAAAAACTGCCCTTCTGGGAATCTCAGGCTTCAGCAATTTGAATCAACATTAACCTGGAGTAGTCAGTCCCCGTCCCCCCTCCCCCCCCCCCCCCCCGGGCAGAAAGCCTCTAGAGTTCCAATAATTAATTAATTGAACAGTGTGAGAAATGAGGGAGATTGGTTTATTGGTTTACTGCTTTACACAAACATGTAAACAAGATGAGTGAGACATTGGTTTTCACAGGCTCTATAGAAACAATAGATATTGCATTGCAAACACAGATATTACTTGGGACATGCAGGAATGTTGGGACAAGTTGGGCTTTAGTTAAAGCCAAGTAATCCTATAAAACCGCTTGCTGTGCTCCTGTATAAGTGGTGTTGGTCCCTTGAGGGCGCATACACACCTAATTCTCATGAGAATTGATGAAAAAGGCATCTCTTCTCTCACTCCACAACTGTGATTTCATTATTACCCAGCTAACTCTTGTTTGGAAATTCGCCGAGCCCAGTCTCAGGCTGAATTCTGAATTAAGTCTGGGGTTTTTATGACAAACGTGGCGAATTGTCCAGAATATTCTTAAGGCCCCCGGAGTGGTTATTTGAGGGGTAAATGGAGGAAGAGGGCTCCCACCAATTTTTGGTGGTCCTCTGCTTTTCTCTCTGGCTTCACCCAGGCTGCATATGAGACCTGAGACTCGGTATTTGCCAAATGGAGTGTTTGAACAGATTTAAGGAAAAAGGGAAGAACTGGCTGTAGACCATGTAAAGTAGACCTGTTGATCAAAGCAGGGAAAAATTTGTGGCTAGAGTACCTGCCTTGTTGGTCCACAGAATCCTCATTTCTGACAACTGTTGAGGCTAGCCCAGATGGGGCTTTTAGAGGAATGGTCTAGAAATGGGAGGAAGGAGCTCAAAGGAAAAGGCATTGAGGAAGGGGAAGGAGAGCTGTTAGCCTGGGGGAATCAGACTCTGCTTCTTGCTGGAAGGAAAGACCAGTCAAGATTAGAATTAGAATCGTGCACACGTTTTCTGTCTGTCTTTATGTAAATGTTTTATGTCTGCCAGAAAAATTTTAAGTCTGAAATTAGAGAAGAAACAGTGGAAAAGAACTCCCACTTTAGACTTTCAGTGGGAGATTAATAAGATTTTTTTGGGGGTGGTCCTGTGAGAGATGAACTCTCAGAGATGAAGCCTCCTCAAAAGGTCAATAATTTGTGATTATTATTTTCAAAATCCTCCCCCACTCAGACCCTGTTTTTAAGCACTTAACAGAAAGAATAAGCCCTGCCCCACCCCCAACCTGAGCCATTTGCCCTTGGCTTCCCACCTCTTTCCCTGTCTTTGAATTTTGGGCCTGGAATATAAGCCCCACCTCCCAGTTAAGGGGATAGGAAGAAGCTTTAGAGCTTAGAATGTAAGCCCATCCCCAGTTAAGGGGGTAAGGGATAGTGGTGGGTGGAAACTTGTTTGCATAGTGGGTGAAGACTTTGCATGGTGGGCAGAGATTTGCTTTTATAAGGGGCCCCTGTTATGCAGTCTCTCTCTCTCCACATGTATCGAAGGAGCAGACAGCCATCTTGCGAGATTGTAATAAAGGTAACCTTTGCTTTCCACCTTGAGAAGTCTCTGAGTTTAATTTGGGTTAGGGTCGCTGTCCCACACAGTCCCAACACTGGCCAAGTTGGGATAACAGAATAAGTTAGATAATGAGTAATGGAATCAAAAAAGCAGGGAGCTACCAAGCATGCCGCCCAAGATGGTAGGGATTGATAGAGGGAAGGGGCTGAGAAGAATTTGGGTTCAGGTTTGGTCGGATTCCTAAGAGTTTGAATTGCTGTCTTTCTACCTCTGCCACCAGTATATCTGATATCAAGGCAGTGTGTTTAGAGTTGTAAAATTAAGGGTTTTTCTGGCTTTTAATGAGATAAGATTTCAGTGATTTCTTTAAAATGCATAGTAATATTATAAAGCTATTTGGGGAGAGAGAGGGAGAGTGCTGTTCTCTGGATTTGCAATTCTTATCCCCCTTCAGATTTCAGAATGGCAAAGGAAAGCTGCCCAGCCTTGGTAAGTGTAATTTGGGTGGGGGTAGCAAGCTATGTTCTCCACCCTTGCGTGGTTGTTCTGGGTGCCTTTGTGCCAGC